AATACAAGGCGGTTTCTAAGTGAATGACAATAATTGATATTGCAAATTAAAAATAATGCTGCGCTTTGGAAACTGCTAAATTTAGATGTCAGGTTCTTTCTTTGAAAGCTATAAGATAACTCGTTCCTCTCCAGGGAAAGTGAGTAGGAGCTTGTCTATGCAGGAAAAGTGTTTGGAATAGCAACTGCCCACCAGTTTCCCATGCAAACACTCATATTCTGTACTTCAAGACTGGATTAAGTGAAACAACACGAAGGTCCTCACTGCAGAGGACAGAACCCTGTTCACAGTAGCTCTCTTGCCTTAGGTCCATCATCCCAGTACACAAACTGTAGGTTGCCTTGCAGCGGTAACCCCGTATAGATGAACGTTTGCCCAAGATGTGAGGGAAAAAAAGGGTCTTTTAAGAAAATATTAAGTGACTAAGAAAAATCACTTTTTTTTTGCAAGCTGTGCAGGTTTAAAACTGTAGTGTATATACTATGGATATCTGCTAGAGAAAAACCTCTTGGGCAAATCACTGAGACAACTCAACAAAAACCTCACAGCAGAGCAAACAAGTTGGCCCCAACCTGTCTCCAATTCCTAAGAGCTGTTACAATGCCTGGATGAAGCATGCTCCAGATTTCTGTCTGCTGCTGGTCCACTAGAGGACAACCTAATAATGATGAACTCCTTTGGCTTACACAGTAAAAGGCCCATACTGGAAATGCTGCTGCCAAATCTGGTTTACAGCCCAATGCTGGGATTGGTGCTGGTATCTGTGTTGAAGCTCATTTTCAGTGGTACAGATGACTTCTAGTCCTGATTGATACAGCTCTTTGAAGGTTCAAAAAATGGCCCCTACAGTTGATGCCAACCTTTACAACTACAGAAAAAGAGACAGAAGCAAGGCAAATTTCCAGACAGACAGATGTAGTTTTCACAGAGCAAACCCAATCCCCTACGCTGCACTCCACCACAGAGAAAACACGCCTGCTGCTGGTTTTCTTGCAGACTTCTGACATGGTATCGTGCTTTTTCAGTGCAGGAAACGCTCTGTGTTTCAGGTACAGAATGATCCTTTAGCCCTGGTAACATGATTTATCAAACCATAACAGAGGAGTCCAACTCATGTATAAACAGTGAGCAGGAAGCACAACAAAATCATCAGCTGAAAGCCACAGAGAAGAGCAAGGCTGCTGCTCTGGCAAGGCACAGAAAAAGACCAAGTAGCTTCTCAAAACCCAAGGGGGTTCTTGTCTAATATTTTTAAGGCAAAAAATTAGTTGAATGCAAATAAAATCTGAGCTAGCAATAGAGCTAATTTCTGAAGCTAGGAAGCAAATGAACTGTGGCAAGAAGTGGAACAGCAGAAAACAGCAGAGAATTAATTGCAAGTGAAGTGTCTCAGGTTGAAATTAGAATTGGAGGGGGTCAGAGGGTCAAAGCAACAGTTCTCAGTGGGCAATTTGGTGTTTTAACATCCCCCAGCCTCACTAGCAGGGATGTGTCTGTGACTCAGGAATAAAAAGTGCATGTGTGTCTGCAAGAGAGAAGAATACACGGTGAAGGCGACAGATCAGAGCTAATTAAAAGACAAAATCTGATACTCCCCCTCCTACTGACGACAGCGGGAGCAGGCTGGCTGTAATTGGGAGGGCGCAGACCCCAGCCGTCCCTTCGTGGGGGGGCACGGGGGAGTGATGTGAGGGGCCGCCGGTCGCAGCCCCACCGAGGCACTGCCCAGCCGCCAGCCCCCCGGTCCGCCCCCCCGGCAGTGCAGGGGGTGCTCGCTGACGACGTGGCTGGCGGAGGCTCGGCGGGGCCAGAGT